CCCAGTCGTCGTGGCGCCGGGCCACCCCCGCTACCCGCGGTAATGGCGGCTATTCTTCGCAAATCTGTCACATCTACTTTCAAACAAGACGCCAACTTCAAACGAAAACGCGTTCTACGATGCGTCTACACTCCATCCCCATATCATAGGCTATTCTTCTCCGGATCAACGACAGAAGAAACGGTAGCAACAGAAAAAACTGCAAATGTCTACGAAGGCTGCTACCTTGCACTCGGTTCGTTTTGGAGTGCTTTCGCCGTATGGGTGCGTGCGTCTTCTTATGAACATCGACTGCGCTAACCGTCTGTGGGTGTGTCTTTTCTCAATAGCGTCGACCGCGCAAACTGGTTGACCAATGAAAAGACGTCGTCAGTCTCAATCCGGTTGACAACACAACAAAACACTCGCGAAGGTCACAGAAATATGAGACCCTGTGACCGAGTGTCATTCTGTAATAGAATAATAAGTGTACCTAATTTAATACATTGTTAACTCCTAAAAAAAATATTTTCATCTTTTAATAGAGAATACCGACTTAAAACCTATACACGACTTTGTTTCAAATTAATAAAAAGATATACAAAAGAAAAAAATCAGATTTTTGTTTTTTATTGGGGGCATATTGTTAGGTGTAGTATCTACGCTTTGACTCTGTGCGTGTGCTTTTTCAAAAACCTCTGTATGCATAGCATGCACCGGGCTAACTGCTGTGGCTGACTCATGTGTGCACGTGTGTGTACGTTGCGTGTGTGTGTGGATCCTGCAACCAAACCGAGCACAACTGAGGTTTGTTTCCGTTCGTCTGCGAAGATTTTTCGAGCACCGCACAAACGTACCGGATGTCATACAGGGCGAAAAATATGTAATTCGATGTCCGCACAGGGTCCGGAGTCATCGCATTCATTCATTCACCGCACTCCTGTGCGATGGAAAATAAGTATCGAATTTTTATCAAACTATCGTACGGGATCGGTCGCCCCAGTGGTCTAGAGGCCCAATGGTGTACCGCTGAATCCAGAGGTCGTGAGTTCGAACCTACACGGGGTGAAAGCTTCACGAGTGAGCGCTCAGAGGCGAAACATGGCTCAATAGATCTCTTGAGAACCAAACTATGCCGTTGTCACCGTCGACAAGGAAACGGGATTTCCAAGGAAGGGCCTGGCTGGGCCGTTCTCTCTCGCAATGAAAACTGTGTATTCCGCGCGCACCACCGGAGGACGGAAGAGCATGAACAGAAAAGAAAAAAAAGCCCTGGTATTTAACCTCCTCCTGTGTGCCCCTGGATGGTTGGTTGCAGTTGTATGAAAATTACCCTAAAAACTGCAATACGAAGTACTGTACGTACACTGAATAACAGTAGTCACGACTCACCCCAACAATGGGGGGATTGTCGCCATAACAAATAAATAAATGAAGTAGATATGACGAATAACACCAACAACAAAGGGGATGCGATGACTCGCAATGTTACGGTGGCCAATATCCATGAACTATTATTGTAGAAGGTATGCTGTAGGGGTAGAGAGATACCGTAAACTACGGAGTTTTCCCCCTCTAGTACAGTATTCCCCTCCACCCATTACCTTTAGCCCCCCCCCCTCCCGGTGTTTGCCATCGGGGTTGGGTTTTCGTCGCTTGGCAACCACGTTGTAAAACAAGCCAATTTACTTCGTGAACTCGGCAACCAGATTACCGTTTTTCGTTTTTTTTTTACCTCCGTTTTTTTTTTTGGCGGTAACCATAATGGTGGTCGAGTAGATCATGTTGTGCGGGGTGGAGAACCCTCGCTCCGCGCAAGGGGGATGATCGCACCACGTTGTGTTAAAATGGTCAAGCACCCTCGAGGCAGTTACACAGTGCTTACAACTGTCTCTGGAAGTGCAAGCACCAGAAAGTAAATTCAGTCATACGCAGCTGTCACCCGTACGCAAGGAAGTAAGCACAAGATGCCGAAAACCCTTAGCAGGATGCAGC